CAACTAATAGCAATAGCGATTTTGATCACATGACCTTGGGGAATGCTACAATGGTCGCAAATGTGAAAAACTGTCATAAGTCACTTTTTTCAGTGATGTACTTTCGACTGGTCACTAAATGAACTGTTATAAGTTGAGGACTCCGGTCACTAAATGAACTGTTATAAGTTGAGGACTCTCTGTATAATGTTCCAAGAATATGCAACAGACAAGTAGGCTTCCTTTGAATGGACAAATGTAACAAAATGGGTTTTTTTGTTTGTTTTTTCAGTGTCACACAGAAACATGTTTCAGATTTATGACCACCGGCTAAAGCTGCTGTGCTATATCAAAATTTCTTTGCTCCTGCTGTTCCTCTCTCTATCATTATTTTGCTATTTATTTTATTTGAAATGTTAAATATTATTCAACATATGCTTTTATCAACAGTTGTAATGGATAGTTTGAATTTTATTTGAAACCGTTCTGAGATTATTATTTTTTTAAAACGGGAACTAAACTACAAATGCTGCAAACGACTTAATAAATGATCTTATTTGACAGACACAATCTAGAATATTTCCTATATAATGTGGTTGATGGAACACTAAGCAGTTAAAATCTGCCGGGCTTCTATTAACCACTGCAGGCTACTGCAGGGTGTTATTTCTCTTATCATACATTAGTTAGTTCCAAACTTTACACCCGTCTTTCCCAAATGTATTTGTCCACAAAACGTCTTGGGGGTTTATGCACTTGGGTTCAGCACTCTTTTAAAAAAGCACCAGACCTGACTTTTAAACATGTGCTTAGCATTCTTTTGGGACACACCGGAGCTCAAATGAGAAGAAGCTCAGTTGTCACTATAGAAGGGCTTCCCAACCTTGAACCATTAAGGCATATAGACTTCAACTCCCAAAATTCCCCAGTTAACCATTGCAAAGATTGGGAAACCTTGCCCTACAGGGTGCATTACAGGTTTCCTGCTAACATGGTGCTTATGGAATTGTGGGTTTTTTTGTTTTTGTTTTTTTACTGTTTTAATTTTGTCAGCTCTGTTTTGACTCCAGGTGCTGGCAGTATTTCCATGCCACTGTGGGTGTAGCTCACTAAAGTTTTGAACCTCCACTCCATCCTCCACTCTTTCTCTGAATTTACAAGCCTGGTCTGAAGGTCAGCTTGGGTGAAAAGGCAAAAAGCTCAGAGCACCTTCGTGACTGTGTCGTGCGAGTGGGGCTGCAGCTGGACGGGTGGCTAAACACAGTGGTCCAAGCGCTGCCCGTCTTCACCCAGCCCTATGTTAGGATGAGTGGTCGGTGATAGTTTTGCCCTCTGAAAAGGCAGTTGGTATTGGGGAGTGGGTGTGTCACAAGGGTGAAAAAAGCAGAACCATGATGGTGCAATGGAAGGAGAATTAAAGGCATCACCAAGAGCTGTGGTGATTAGAATGCAGTATTGCAGGCTAACTCTGCCCACAGCAAGATGTTCGATCCGGACCGGCTCAAGGTTGACTCAGCTTTCCATCCAGAGGTGGCCTTCAGCCAGTTCTCAACAGTTCTGGAGAACCGGTAGCGGAAATTTTGAGTAGTTCGGAGAACCGGCCAATCCTACCTCTGACTGGCTCTGCCCCCATCTCTTCTCTGCCTCCCATTGAGTCCCAGCTGATCGGCTGGGTCTTTGGTTGCCCTGCACAGGAGAATGGAGCTGGAAAGCAGGTTAGTGGGGTGGGAAGAGAATAGGGATTTTGCAGTATCCTTCCCCTGCCACGCCCACCACCAACCATGCCATGGCCACCAAGCCACGCCCACAGAACCAGTAATAAAAAAAATTGAATCCCACCACTGCTTCCATCTTTCCGAGGTCAGTAAATGACAACCCAAATTATTGGGGGGGGTGAGATGCTGACTCTATAAACCACTTAGAGGGCTGTAAAGCACTGTGAAGCAGTACAGGCCGCCCTCGACTTACGACAGTTCATTTAGTGACCGTTCAGTTACAACGGCCCTGGAAAAAGGGACTTACGACCATTTTTCACACTTATGTCCATTACAGCATCCCCATGGTCACGTGATCAAAATTTGGAAGCTTGACACATATTTATGACGGTTGCAATCTGCCAGGTCCCCTTTGGGGAACCATCTGACAAGCAAAGTCAATGGGAAAGCCAAATTCGCTTAACAACCGTGTTACAAACTGAGCAGCAGCAACGATTTGCTTAGCGACGGTGGCAAGAAAGGCCGTAACACTGGGCAAAATTCACTCAACAAATGTTTCACTTAGCAACAGCAATGTGGGGCTCATTTGTGGTCATACGTCAAGGACTGCTTGTATAGAAGTCTAAATGCTATTGCTATGTGACTGGCCCCTCAGAGAGGCTGAGCTGGCAGGGCTGTGTTGCCCTGTGGTGGTTTTTTTGTCTTTCTGATGAATGCAACAGATCCTGCAGAACCTACCAGGGATGACACCTGGGGGAAGAAGAGACAAAGATAAGGGGACCAGTGGTGGGATTCAAAACATTTTACTGTGGGCAGGGCTTGGTGGACGGGGCAGGGGAAGGCTACTGCAAAATCCTCTATTCCCTCCCCATCCCCATTAACCTGCTTTCCAGCTCTGTTCTCCTGTGCAGGGCAACCAAAGAAGACCCAGCCGATCAGCTGGGACTCAGTGGGAGGTAGAGAATAGATGGGGGCGGGGCCAGTCAGAGGTGGTATTGGCCGGTTCTCCGAACTACTCAAAAGTTCCGCTACCGGTTCTCCAGAACTGGTCCTTAATTTGTCTTGGGTTCAAAGAGTAAGACAAAGGTTTGGGGATTTATTTTTGTTGTTGTTGTTGTTTTGAGGATTCAAACAGGGCAACAAACCTCAAGCCAATTTACTTTTTTTGCACGCCAAAGGGCTTCTGTTTGGCAGAGGCTGTTGGCATCAGGTGGACACAGCAGGAAAAAAACAAAAAAAACTTCCCAGGACATGTTTCTATCCCGACTGAGGAAGAAGAAGAAGACAGCTGGTTCCAAGCCAAAAGAACCCGGGATTGAGTAACTCCATCTCCCAAAGAGCCAACTCGGTTTATTCTCCTATATCCTCCAGAACTGGGTGGGAAGCGAAGCAATCTGGCAATCTGGAAGTTTTCAATGGGCATTTTTAGGAACGGAGGAGGGGGGGGAGGCTTTCCAAGCCAGGCAGAGGTTCCCACAGGAGTGGGGAGGCGGTCCACAAATCCAAGATCATGTTGGCCATAACATGATCAAAGCATGACACACACACACCCCACCATTGAAATGCCTGTCAAAACCCCTCCTCCAATACCACTTGCCTTTTCAGAGGGAACTTTGGTTCCACCTCCGGGTCCACCGCCCTGACTTTTTTGACCTTATTCTGCAGAAACACACACACACACACACACACACATCCCTTTGGGACTGAGGTTGGAATAAGGCAGGCAAACACCATTTTATCCGCAGTTTTTAGCTAGGCCAGCCAGGGAAAGGGGGGGGGGCGGTGGGAAGCGCCCCTTGTCAAACAGCCCATGCCACCGCCTGGTTCCCTGGATGTCTCCAGGACTTGGGGCGGGGAAGGACACCCCCCTAATCCCCAGCCTGCCAAAAAAAAAAGAGAGGGGCTGAGGGGAGAGTTGTGGGGGGTGGAGGAGAGGCAGAGATCTCGAAAGCTGTACAGGTAGGAACTCGGCTGCCGCAAAGGAATGTGGAAATTCAACTAAGGCGGGCAGGCGAGTGCACCGAGCCAGCTGGCGAGGGCGCGGGGAAGGGGAAGAGGGAGCCAAACGGCGGTCCGAGCGCCAGAAGCAAAAGGAAAATAAAAATAAAATAAAATAAAACAGGGGCTGCCCTCCACTCCGGGGCAGGGCAGGGTCTCGTGGTGGTGGTGGGGGAACCCCAGGGCGGCCGCTCACTTAGGGGCGCCCTTCGGTCTGGAGCTCGGCCGGTCTCGCCCACCCTCCTTTTCCCCAGGAAGCAGGGCGCCTCCTCCCCTTCGCGGCTTCTGCAGGTTGATTTGGAGGCGCTCGTGGGGAAAGGGGGCTGGGGTGGTGGTCGCGCAGGGGCGTAAGGGAGATTTCCCCCCCCCCCCCCCCCCCCCCCCCCCCCCCGTGCCGCCCCCTCCCCCCAAAATACCGACCCCTTCCGTGGGTGCTAAACCGTAAATGCCTCTCTCTCGGGCCCCCGTTTTTGTTTTTGAGGGCGGGGGGGACACACGACACGCGCCGCCGCTGATTTTCAACCGGGGGGTGGGTGGGGAGAGCTTTTCCTTTCCTAGAAAAGGAGAAGGGGGCTCCCTTTGCAAATGCCGAAGCCGCTCCGGAGCTCGTTTCCTCGGAAGGCCAAAGACGCCGCCGACTAGCCCGGCTTGCTCCGAAGCCGCGATTCCCCCCGCACACACACACACACACACACATTGCCCGCTTTCTCGGTCCTGCCCTCGGGGCGCTCCGGCACGGGATCCGAACTCCAAGCCCGATTTCCTTCCGAAGAAGCCCCTCGTGGCTGAGAGGCGGACGGTTCCCCCCCCCCACTTCCCCCCTGTCGTTTGCGCGGTAAGGGAAGCCAGGCGGCTGGATCGCGCGCAAACCTGAAGCCTCTGAAGCGGCGCGTTCCGAGTCTCTGCGCTCTTTCTCTCTCTCTCCCCGAGGCCCCCTTTCTTCCAAAGCAAGCCCCGCTGCTCCCAGAGGGAACGGAGCCTTTATAGGATTCCCGTCAAGCATTAGGAAGCCGCGCAACGCAGCCGCCTCGCGGCCCCTTCCTCAGAATTGCTTTACAGTCTTATCTTGGGGAAGCTCGATGGGTCTCCCCTTCGCCTCAGACCCCCCAACCCCTCTCCGTTTCCTCGGGGGCCGGGGGCGACTCTCCCTCTCCCACCAAAACTCGGGGAAACTCGGGGCGGGGCGGTTCGCTTCTTTCCAAAGCCCCGCTCCCCAATTCATTTCCTCCGCGTACCCCCCCCCCCCAAAAAAAAACACACACACCCCACGCGATTCGGGCTCGCGGAGCCCCCGTGTGAAGTACTTACCCTAATTTGACATAGAGGACTCCGAAGCAGAGAAACACGTAGAAAATCCACTTTCGGGAGTTTCTGTGCATGTTCTAGGAAGACGGGGGGTGAGCCATATAAAAACGAAATCGCGCGCCGGGACTGCGAGGGTGGAGGGGAGGCAGGCAGAAGCAAAGGAAGCGGCGGCGGCGGCGGCCTCGGCCGATTAAATCCCAGCGAGGAGCCTCTGAGGAGCGGCTTCACCGGTGGACCCGAGGGGAAGAAGTAGCAGCCCCGCAGCCTTCAAGCAGCGCGGGCCCGTGCCAACCATGCTGACCTCCTCTCCCCTCGCTCCCTCCCTCCAGAGCCGAGCCAGAAGCCCCAAAGTCGTGAGGAGCGGGGGGGCGGGGGGGGGGTCAGGCCCGGCAAAGCGGCGGGGCTGGAGGTTCCAAGCCGGGCTGGCTGGGTTGCGGGGTGGGGGGGAGTAGTATTTCTGCAGGTAAACCGCACCGCGTCTCTCTCTCTCTCTCTGGCGACCTGCAAACTCCAGGTAGGGAAGCTTGGCGCTCCCGCGGCCCGCGCGCTCCCGCCTGCACCGCCTCGCAACACCCCCCGCCGCCGCCGCCTCCGCCGCTGCCGCTGCCGCGCGCACCCTTCGCCCGGGGACACACCTCGCTCCCTTCCCTGCTTGTGGAAAAAAGCTGCTCTCCCGGCGCTCGGCTTCCCAGGCCCGAAGGGGCCACAGCTCAGAAGGGGAGGGGGACCACACCCCCCCCCACCCGACCTTTGAGACCCGCCAAACAGTTCCCTTTGCAGACCCCTCCTCTGTGTGGCAGGACCCTTGCAGATAGAATAGGCCCCACCGATTAGTTTGGAGAGAGAGAGAGATATGTATATGTATATGTATAAATATATGTATATGTATATGTGTATTGCTACAATACAGAAGCCTGATGGCAGATGAGATTCTGCCCAAACCTCACTACAACTTTAAAAGCACAACTATAATGACTGGGAAAATACCCGAACAAAGCTGAATACCATACATATATATACACATACACATACACATACACATACACATACACATACACATAGACATGTACATATACATATACATGGGCACCACCTTCATATACGTATACGTATAGGTATACATATACATATACATATGCATACATACATACATACATATACCTCTGGCATCAATGACTCTGGGCTCCTCATACAGACTCCTTATACAGTCAAAAATCACAGAAACCAAATACAGTTAATTAAGGAGCAACAACTGTGATTAAAACATTGAAACCCTAAAAATAATCTACAGGAGATTATTACGGGAAACAAGTTCCGCTTACTAACTAACCAGGATTTGTGTCCAAATTGTGCTGTTATAAAGCACCATGTTTCATATTTGTGTCCATGTTGCCTCTTTGAGGGTGAGAGGACAGCACTCCCATGATTTGCATAGCTATGGTTCAATAAGCCATAGCTGGCCAAAAATAAGCCATAAATCATTGGTTACCAATGAGTTGTAAGCCAGAGTCATAGTTAATATGCTTTGAAATCCAGCTTTTCCAACAGCGACTTATTATTCAGCAAACCATGATTTAGCACGGTATTTATATTCAAAAAATAAGCCAAAACCAAATAAATCTCAGTGTGGTTTAGCTGACAGCCTCTAACTAAACCAACTTCCTTTTTTGGAGGAACGTGGAGAGAATTAGAAAGCACGCATTTAGAACAGCATCTCCCGCCACAACAGCTGAGGTGATATTGGTTCTAAAAAAAAGAGTTTCACACCATCTCCTGGTTAATTAGAGCCTTTTTGAAAAATCAACCTAAATGCCTTTCCAGGAATGTTGCAATTTAATAAATTAAAGGACCAAACATGGTGAGTCCCAATTATTATTCTAACCAAGTAACAGCAGTATAGTGCAGCAACTTAAAAATATGAGATTGCAATCCCAGTTTCCCATTAGTCAGTTCTGAATTACGTGGGGAAGAGGCATCTGTGGGAGGGCAAAAAAGTCAAGATGGCAGCTGCAGCGGTGCGATCAAGGCGCCCACTCCTTTTTTCATGTGCCCAGCGATACACATTGAAAGAGATACGGTTTCAGTCCCATGGGGCCAGCTGCTATTTGGACTTTGGAAGCTTCTTTATGGATGTGTCTACTGGTCCACCTACTAACTGTTTCATTCGTCTAGTACGGGTAGTCCTCAATTTACAGTTGAGCTCAAAATTTCTGTTGTTAAGTGAGATGTTTGTTAAGTGAGTTTTGCCTCATTTTACAACCTTTCTCGACACAGTTGTTAAGTGAATCACTGCAGTTGATAAGTCGATAACCCGGTCGTTAAGTGAATTGGATTTCCTCATTGTCTTTGCTTGTCAGAAGGTTACAAAAGGAGATCGGATGACCTTGGAACACTGCAACGGTCATAAGTACGAACCAGTTTACCAAGCATCAGAATTTTGATTGCATGATTATGGGGATGCTGCAAAACAGTGAAAAACGGTCACTAAATGAACGGTCACTAAATGAACTCTTGCAAGTCTAGGACTTCCTGTATTATAATTATATACACAACAACATGAAGTCCATGTCATTTTTTTATCTGGTGTTAGCTTCCATATGCAGTTAAATGTGGAGTGTCATGTATTCAGAAATCCCACAATATTTTAACCTGCTCATTTTCAACTGCACAGTACCGTGTGTTCCCACCTATTTTTCATTACTGGCACGTGGTAATTTTTACTGATGTTCCAGTGAATCATTTGGGCGACTATGTTATATCATTGCTTTTAATCAGTTTGTGCAGTCTTCTTGCCTCCAGCTGGAGTGTATGTTCTACCATTTCTTCTGCTTTTTTGCAAAAATCTGCCCTTTGAATGATTTGATGATTGCTGTTAATGGCCTTTTTCACAAGATCACAGTGAATAAGATAGCCCTAGCATTTCTTTTTTCTTTTTAACCTCTATATATTCTCTTTGTATACAATAAGTGCTTAGTGTTTGAGTCCATTTGTTTACATAACAATATTAAACTCCTAGCTCCTACCTCTATTATCCAACCATTGATAAAACGAGTCCCACGTTCGAAAATATTCTTGTGTCTTCTTTTTCTTTTATCTTCAGTGTTAGTCTATCCATTTCTGCAGAGTCTAATATTTTTTTAATTACCTCTTCTTCTGTAGGTGTTTCCTCATTTTTCCAGTATTGTGCAAATAAAATTCTTGTCAAAACATGTCATATTAAATATACATTCCCTTTATCATATTTTTCTGGTATTTTGCTTAACCAAGATAGCCATAGCATTTCTATTTCACCTCCTCTTCCCACTTCGATCGTGCGGCCTCACTGAGAAAAGGGCCTGCTTCTGCTTCTTCCTAATAAAACGCATCTTTTAAAAGCATCTGCTTTCTCGATTAACCAGGAAGCATCTTATCAATCAGCCAAAGTGGTTATAAGGTGCAATCTACAGCCAGCCATCCCCTCTTTGCAAGCCACCCAATGGTGATGTGTAAATAGAGTTGATGCTAATAAAGATAGTTTCCTTCTCTGGCTTTCTTTGTAATCTTCCAGGGATGCCCTGTGAGGTGGCTGTTCAGAGCTAAGTGTGAACAGTGATAAAAAAAAAAAATCCTGGAGCCAAGTGACTGCTCATTATTTACCCCCAGAGGGCTTCAAGGTGGCATTTCCTGCAGGCATGAGCTGCCCCACCAAGCTTAACTTCAGGGCATAAGTGACCATTGCAAAGAGGTTGATCTGCTTTCCTCCAGGCAGATTTAAGTCGCAATCGGAAACATTAATCGGGGAAGAAATCTACCCTTTCCCCACATCTGGGAAGACGAGGGAGTTAAAACTTCCTTCCCAGAGCATCTTCTTTGTTTTCAGGTTTCTCTAGGAGAAACTGAGGCCATAGAGTTGTGCTTGAAGACAACATTGTCCACACATGTGGCTGCCATCTTTGGCACGGCTGGTTTGTTCTCCACCAACAAGCAACACGGTGGGCAGAAATCATCCTGAAATGTGCAGGTCCTTTTAACCTTTTGAGACACTTTCCTTACAAGGAGATTTTGGATTACAACTTCCATAAACCCAACAGTGACGAATGATGGCAGCTGTTGCCTAAAAACTCTGGAAGGCACTAGGCTGCCCATCAACAATGGATCAGAGTCTCCTGCTCTTAAACATCATACTTAGGAAGGAAGGAAATCGGGGAAATGAGTCAGAAGGTCCAGGCTTGGTGGTGTCCACAAGGCAAGTGTCAAAATTGGGCATAATCAGAAAAGGAAAAAATAAGGGCTAAAAGACTCTAACTAAAGATAAGAATCACAGAAGGAAACAAAACATAGAAGCAGGGATATGATCATAATCTAGAGCAGCATTTCTCAGTTTTGTCAACTTGTATGGACTTCAACTCCCAGAATTCCCTTGGCTAGTTGGAATTCTTTCCAGCAACAATGTCCTGGAAAGTCTTTTATTTGCTCCAGGGTTGCACGGCATGGTAAAAAACTTAGAATGTTGGCCATGATGGTGCAAACAAAGATGGCGCTTTGAACATACCATCCACCATTTTGACTTTTTTGACCAGCCCGTTATGAACATCAATGATTTGTTTGTTCTGTACTGGCCTTTCTGACTGCAGCATGCATATCTTCCATGCCTTCAATTCTGCAGTCTTGCGCAAAGAACATGATCTGGGGTCAAAAAGGATTTCCGCAGGAGAGTTAAAAAAAAAGGTCAAAATGGCGGCCGCAATCCTGAAATCTCTAACCCCAAACCCAGTTTAGCTTTTTAAGTGTGTAAAAATGCTCAGAGTTACATTCCCATGCTTACTTGTTGACCTCACCATCCCTGAACCATTTCACTCCTAAACTGGATTGAACAAAATCAGTTGATGAAATGATGACAAAGTCTGTTCGGTATATCAACTTGATTCAATCTGCCAAACCATTTGACTTGAACCCTCCATTGACATAATCCATTTAGGTCAATTCCTTTCAGCCAGGATTCATACTGGGCCAAGCAATTCAAATCACTTGGGGAGGGGAATGAGAGAAGGGTGCTTTGACTGTTTGAATTGGTTCAGTTGTTCAGTTTGACAAATCCATTCAGAATCAGGACTCTCCAAAGGAAATAGTTATACAACCTACACACACACACATAGATATATACACACACATAACACAGACCACCCCTGTCACAACTCTGGTGGGGCGTTGGATCGTTGCACTTTTCCCAAGCAATCAGGTAGACTACAAGAAAGGGCAAGACACACAGATGG